CCCGTTTTAAAGTGAAGCGGAGTTTTGAAAAAGACGCGTCGTTGAAAGTGGGACGCTGCACTGCTGCAGCACGCGCTGTCCCAGGCGACCCCGTTGTTTTCTCGCATCATCAATAAACAAAAACCGAAATCAAAACCAAAAGTGGGTTCCCCTGTCAGCCCCGATCGGATGCTCTGAGCACGCACTTGCGTGCTATACGTTGGGCGTCAACGTCCACGCACAAGTTCTCAAGAAGCGAGGTGTCGAGAACCCGAGTTGCAGTAAGTTGTTCTCGAGAAGCGACTTGTATAGCTCGCGGGGTTTCTCTCCATGGCGAAATGGTCCTGCTCGCTTCCCTTGCGTGTTTCGAGATGGTTATAATAAGGGGGAGAGAGAGTGTATGTAATCGGAGTTTGAAAAGGGACGCGTCCAGTGTGCAAGTGGGATGTGTTGCATGCATGCGCGTTCATCCCCTCATCAAAAGATAGATAATGGGAGGAGAGGACCAGAAAAATCAAAAACTGTAAAAAATGACAGTGGGTCCATCATCAATTTAATCCCCCGGAATGGGAGATCAAAAGAGGATCTCACACTGAACCAGAGAGGAAGGCCGTCGGCATAGCAGTCTGGAGCAGTCTATACACAGGTCTCCCCCCAGTGTAAGGAATGACGGAGCAAAGGACGTCTCCAGCGATGCTCCCATGCATTGAATGTGACGGGCTTTTTTTGAGTCTTGCTCTCTCTTCAGCCAGTTCTTGGCCTCTATTCTCTTTTCTCTCTCTTTTTGAAGGGGGGGAAGGGAAGGGGGAGTCTTGAAGAAAGAAGAGAAAATAAATAAAGCGAGTTGTCGTGTGCTCTTTTGCCCCCTCCCCTCCCCCTCCACCAACACACCTGAACGAAAAAAATCCCTTGTTACACAAGGATACTCCCCCAAGACTCCTTCTCTCTCTCTGTTTATAAAAAAGAGGACAGTCACCGCAACATGATTGGTGCATCCCTTCCCCTTTCCTTCCTTTTTTGTCTTTTCAAAAATCTCTCTCAGCTCTCTCTCTCTTCTCCACTCTCTCTCATGGATCCCATCAACTGTGATGGAGGATGATGTTCCCCCCAATGCCACGCTGGGAGGAGATATGGATTTATTTCTCTCTCAGCCGTCAAAAGAGAAAAAGACACTGCCGCTCCCCTTCAAAGAGAGAGAGTCTGCCACCGAAAACATGCAGTCATCCAAGTGTGGATCATCCATCCATTCCTTCCGCAGTTCCATTCAACGAACATGGGGAGACTGCTGAAAACTCTCCCTTTCGTCACAGATGCATCCCCCTTTCAGAAGGGAATGACGTTGAGGGGGGGGGGG